CCCCCCCCGTGTCTTGAGGGCCTCCTTGAGGCCTGACAAAAACAACTCATGTGACTGTGACGAAACTGCTTGTCCCATGGTGTGTCACTCACCTTGCGTCGTCCTCGCTCTCCTCCCGGATCTGTCTCTCGGTCGTGTCTGCCGAGGCGATCTCAAGCTCCCGCTTGGCCAAGTCTTCCCGGAGGACGGCGTTCCCCCTCAGTCAAAGGCTTGAGCCCCACACTGGGTGCCAAATGTCCCGTCCGGCAGGACACATCAACCTGGGCAGGGAACCTAGATGGAGAGGAATGAAGGGACAAGAGACACGAAAGGTGACAGCAAGACGAAAGTTCTGATCGAGCTGCAAACTTTTATTGTTCACACAGGGGTATTTATATGCTGGGGATGGGGAAGCTCTCTAATCAGCAATTGCTGGGTGGGTATTCAGATGCTAGGGATGGGGAAGGTCTCTGCAATTGCTGGATGTGGGCGGTAAAACTGCCAGCTGCAAGATGTCTGATGATCCTGATAACCAACTGCAGGATGTTCCAGGGAGATAGGTAGCTGCAGGATGCCTTCAGGCTGTCAGGCTAATCTTTGAAGGAGAATTTCCTTCTAGTTCCCGACCTAAAGTCTTTTTTGAAGGGATAGGGGTGATTTGGGGAATTGAACTCAGGCACTCTCTACCACTAAGCTACACCTTCAGTCTTCTTTATTATGAGACAGAGTCTAAGTTGCTGAGGACAGCTGGAATTTMTGATCCTCCTGCCTCAGCCTCTAAGTGGCTGGAATTATAGACACCACCAGACTTGGCTTAGAAAGACTTTTTGCTCATCCTAATATGGTGGCTTTTAGTAGACAAAAGAGAATGTTTAGCAAATTAGTAACAAGATTTACAGGCAAGCTGAGAAAAGCCTAAATTAGAATGAAAGCATTTAAAAATCCTGGGGAATAGTTGAAACAATTAGTCCTGGCTTTCATTTGGGCTTCCGTTAGCTTTTTAGAGGTATCCAAACCCAGCTTTACAGTCCCCTGGCTTTATGACATTCTAGCTACCGTTTCAGGCGCGGGGTACCAGTGGAGGACAAAGTGAACTTCACGTAGGATTCTTCAGAAATCAACATTCATCAGCTGAGCCATAAGCTTTAGACAGGCTCCTCTTGCACCCTCATTTCCAAGGACACTCTTTCATAAGTGGGTAGAAAATCGCTTTGGAGGGGCTGGGGTTGTAGCTCAGCGGTAGAGCGCTCGCCTAGCTCATGCGAAGCCCTGGGTTCACATAAAAATAAATAAATACAAACAAAGGCATTTAAAATAATGATTAAAAAAGAAAATCGCTTTGGAAATATTCAGAAAGGTCGAATTTATCGAAGCAATTAATTTCCCCTGTTTAGATTTTGCCAAGCACAGAAAACCTTTCGCTTTGGTCCAGCCTTTGTGAGTGAGATGTACTTTGAAGCTTAGGAACACTTCAGTCTGACAGAGTCTTTTCAGATAAAGGTCACCGCCCACCGCCGGCAGAGCTCTTCTTCAGAACCCCGCGGCGACCTTTGGCCTGGATTCTGGTCCAGCCCAGCGTCCAGCCCCCCCGGCTCCCTCCGTACCCTGCGGTCTGCCCTGGCATCCTCCCGAGAAGACGCAACATTAGAAAACTCAAAGCACCAGACAGCAGTGCTGCGTTCCTGGTGACCACGTGAGAGCGAGGAAAAACCCTCTGTCAAGGTCGCAGGACCAGCTCTAGCGACAGTAGCCAAGCTCCACCCTTCCGTGCCCTCCACTCTCTCAGAGCCCTGCTCGGCGTTTCTCCGCCGAAACCTGCCCCCGGCCACGCCCCCTCACGGGTGGGCGGGACCAGATAGGCCAGGTGGGCGGGGCCAGATGGGCCCAGGGCGTGCCTGGAGTCTGACAGACTCTGAGTGGCGGCCGGGCGGCTCCAGTCCCAGGGTCCACAACGCGAGTCAACATGGCCGCAGCGTTTAGGAGAAGCTGCGGGGTGAGAGGGAGACCAGGGTAGTGGTGGGGCGCGGGAATGGATGGCGTCGTGTTTGGAAAGGGGGCCGAGAACAGATGCGGATCACAGGGGTAGGAAGCCGAGCTATGACAGGACCACCTCTTAGCGCCAGGCCTGCTTACCTGCTTACCGCAGTTTCGGTGCCTGCAGGCCTGCCACTCCTCTCCCCGCCAGACAGAAAGCTTTATGGGTTTTCACTTTCGCTTAACCTCCTAGACCCTAATGAGGTAGTCCTGCCTTCGGACTCTTTCTTCGGCGCGGGAGCCCTCTAGATAATTCTAACTAGGAATCCCACCCTTTTCCCAAAGTGAACAGAGTTCACTTTTGCTTTGCTTTTTGCAGATCTAGTGTAATGTCTCTTCGAGAAAACTTTCCAAATCCGCCCATGCCCCCAGCCCAAGAAGGAACTCATCAAATACACGTCGTTCTGCAATTATATTTACTAGAAGGTGTTAGAATATGAGTAGTCTTATCTTGGGTATCTCCAAAATCATTGGAAAAGGAAAATGGTGTAGTTTGCTCAAGTCACTAAATATGTAATATGTCGGTAGTTTTGTAATCTGGAGGGATGCCTTTCCAAGTCGCATACGTTAAAGAAAAAGTCAAAGAAAAAAACCTACCATAGAACTTTCCTTGAAGCTTAACTATCGTGTCTTATAGATTCTAAATATGTTTCAGTCGCTAGATGCGTTTTAGTTTCGTAAATATTATTAATATATTCATTGCAAGACTGCCATATGTTGCTTAAAGCTGTCTGACGAAAAAAAAAAAAAACAGAAAAAGCCCTCCCAGTTTTAGAATTTACAATAATCCTATTGAATCATTGCTGTTGTATATACAAGTTATTGGGCTCTAAAGGCAGAAGTTGGAGTATTTTAAGAATTACTTTTAACTCTGACATCAGAAAATAGATATCTCAATCTCTCCCAAGAAAGGATCTAGAAAAACAAAACAAAAAAAAAATCATAAAATGTGCATTCCTTTATCTCTTTTTTGGCATCCCCATAAAACTAAGACACTTTATATTTCTTTTTTTTTTAATATATATTTATTTTTTAGTTGTGCTTGGACACAATACCTTTATTTCACTTATTTATTTTTATGTGGTGCTGAGGATCAAACCCAAGGTCTCACCCGTGCCAGGGGAGCGCTCTACCACTGAACCATAACCCCGGCCCCTTATATTTCTAAGAAATGTCTGGAAATATTTAATTGTAGTGGTGCTTTAATTGCAAAATGGATAATTGAAGTTGCTATCTTTTGCCTATTTGGAATACCATTGTTCTCCGAAGACAGCCCTAAGCAATAAAACCAATATTTTATGACATGAGGCTTTCAAAACATTATATTATTTAAATCACCCCCAAATTATCCAGTGAGATTAACCCCCAGTTTTCTGGTATGAATAGAAGGTATAAGAAGTTTGTAACCTGTCCAAGGTCACAAAGATAGTTGTGCTATCTAGATTCAAATTCAGCAATTCTAACTTGAAATCTTGTGCTGTTTCTTTTTTCTACTAGACCATTTCTCTAAATAAATGTTTAACATTGTTATGTAATTAATAGGTTAGTGGACATAGTGGGTGGTGTTCTTGGCTGTAGAAACCTTTGCACTTATATAACATGTCTTCTTGAAAATCCATGTAAACTGACTTCTTGTAAATTACTTTAAGTCCACAAATAATTCCTTAATGTCTCTCAGCAGACCATTTTACCTGTTTGTGAAGAATGATTTTTGTGCAATGATGTTTAAACACATTATAGTAGAATGAGGTTATTTGGTCTGATTTTTGTGGGTGTTTTTCTTTGTTCTGGAACCTAATGATCAGATAGGAAATTAATTGAAAGACCAGTATAACTAAAGCAAAATGGTTAATAGCATGGACTCTTAATAATAAATGTGAGAATTAGAATTCTGATCCCACTACCTAAGTGTAGAGTGATCTTGGCTAATTTTACTTGACCTTCCTGAACCTCAGGTTCTTCCTATACAAAATGATAATTAAAAAAAAAAAAAAACAGTTCCTTAATTCTAGGTTTGACCTGAGATTCAGTGAATTAATGTGTAATGTGACTGTAAAGAATAGGTTTGGTCTGTGAAGACTATACAATGAGGACAAAAGAAATCATGTTTTACTTCCAAAACAAAGTTAATAAAAACTTTAAAGAAAATGTTTTCATACAGTGTATTATTTTAAAGTCATAGTTGGAGGTATGTTATTTTTGAAAAGGCTATTTAAATTACTATATTTGGCAGTCATACTGTCAGCTTAAATGCAGGTGACACTTATCAGTTGAAATTATCCTTTATAAAGAGGTCAGTTTCTTTTACATATTTTGAAAAACTTAGGTTCTAGAAACTTTAGTGTATTGTTCAGCTTCTCTTTTCTCTCAGTACCTAGCTTATTAAAACTATGTAGGTATATTTCCATCAAAATCTTTAAAGTATAAATTGCTTTCAATTTATAGGTTTTCTCTGAACTCAAACCTTTATTATGGTTTAAATTAAATTAAACCTTATTATAGTTTCCAGTTTGATAACTTTAATACTAATGGTTACTTTTGTGTCCATTAAATTGTAGTGAATATAAAAATGGGTTCCAAAGGAATAATATTTGTGTATCTTGATTGTATTTTTTCAATATATCCTTGAAGAAATATGAGTATATTTCAGATATTAAGACAAGTTGTATATTAATAGTTAGAACAGATCTGGCAAACTTTTTATAAAGGAACAAATAGTAACTATCTTTGGCTTTGTAGACCTATGGTGTCTGTTTCAATCACATAGCTTTACTGTGAAAGTAGCAATAGAGGTTATGGTGGGGCTATGTTCCAATAGGGCTTTACTTAAAAAACTGGTGACCAGCCAGAAGCAGTGTGGTGCATGCCTGTAATCCATGCAACTTTGGAAGATACCAAGCAGGAGGATTACTAAATTCAAGGTCAGCCTCAATAATTTAGTGAGGCCCTAAGCAACTTAGCCAGACTCTGTCTCAAAATAAAAATTAAAAATTTCTGTGGATGTTGCTTAGTGGGTAAGCACCCCTGGGTTTGAGACCTAATATTGCCCCCCCTGCTTAAAAAAAATTAACCAAACAAAAAAACTGGTAGCTGCTGTATTTTGCTGGCTCCTGGCTTAGAACCGTGTATGAAGGCCTATAAACAACAGAATTGATTATAGAACATGGTTTTATTCTGATTTATTTTGTTAGATAGAGTGAGTCATCTTAGAAAATGGAATCCTCCATGGGAAGATTCCCAGAGGCATATCTGGGAGGATCACAGGGACTGGTTATCAGGTTATCAAATCCATATTACTATTCTCCCTTCATCAGCTTCCTCTTCACCGATGTCCTAGGAGTTTATTGATGAAATTTCCAGAATAGTGTTTTATCCCTGTTGTCTGTCCTGGAAACCCTCCACTTCAGTAGTGCAAATATCACTAATTTTATTTGCATTAATTTTCTCTATAATAGATACTCATGTAGCTGGTAATTGGTTTATTTAAGTTATAATTAAAGACATTTAATAATGACTTTAAAAACTGTTGTACCCTTTGATAAAATGGTCAGAATTCTCTTATTTGATTGATATGTAATTTATCAAATTTATTTTTAATAAGATTATCTTTTACAGGTCCTGAGAAGTATTATTTCTCATTTTGACTGGAGATCACAACATACGAAAGCTCATCAAAAAGGAGAACCAGGATTAGGATTTAGTTTTGGTTTGTGTTATGTTCTGTCTTTTGATTTTAAAATGGACTTGTCTGGAATCTGTTTATAAACTTGATAATGAGTAGAACCCAGTCATCATTCATACATAGAGATTAAGTCAGTTACCCCCATTCTTCCTTACACATTTTTTTTGTTCAGCATATTATTCTATACATTCTATCTATAGCCAGGGGCAGTGGTGCACAAATGTAATTCCAGGAGCTTGGGAGGGTAAGACAGGAGGATCACAAGTTCAAGGTCAGCCTCGAAAATTTAATGAGACCAAGTCTCAAAATAAAAACAAAAAAGGGGTGGGGATGTAGTTCTGGGGCAAAGTACCCCTGGGTTAAATCCCCAGTACCAAATAAATAAACAAGTACATTTGATCTGTGTTAGCAACATACATACAAATATTCTTTTCCTTTTTTCTAAGTATGTAGCSAAAAATAAATGGCAGATTTACTGTATTTATGAATAGTCCTTGACTTACAAATTTGAATTCAACAAATACTCATGAGTCTTAAAACACTTATTAGATATATAATGCTAGCTGTCTAATAATAAACTAAGCCCATTTTGGTCATCATTTAATCTGAATTGCAGTTTTGGTGCAATTAGATGAAATTGTCAGATATGGGAGATGAGAGTAATGTGATATTGGAGGGAAAAATAATAGATTTTATTTCCCTTTTATGAAAGGAAAACCCCAGGCAAAAAAAAWWTTTTAATAATAATTCCCATCTTTGGCATTCTTTGCCTCCTAAAAGAACTTCTTGCTTCAAAGTTTTTACCTTTCCTCTAGTTACAAAAACAAACATTTTCTTAGTTAACTTAATCTCGAAAAATAATTACAAGGCACCTAAGATAATTAACTCACACTGAGGTGAAATTGACAGTCTTTAAGGTTATTGCTTTTGTTCAAAATTTTTCCCCCTTGATTATAAGATATTTTGCCAGAATGAAATGAAAAATTTTCAAGTGGTGTGAGGATAGTGGTTTGATTCAATGGGTCTTATTGAGACATTAGCATTGATTTGGTAATAATCACTATAGTAAGAAACTAGCAGAAGGCTGTGATGGGTTTTGGAGTGCCAGAGAATGAGATAGCTACAAATATTTGGGAGGGAGAGAGTGAAGCCAAAGAAAAGAATATAGAATAACACATATGACCAGTTGATCTGATTTTTTATAAAATGGAGATAATGAATATTACCAAGAATTTCTTTGAAGATTAAATTATATGCAGTATATAAAGTCCCTAACACATAATGAATGACTGGATCAAAGTAGTTTCTCAATAAATAATACATGATAGATCCCTGTCTTGTCTACCTTTACCCACCCACAACCTTGATATGGACTGACCACTCCTAGAAAAGAAGTTAAGATGTAAAAACCCTGACTTGAACCACTTCTGCTATTTCATTATAAGACTATGGGTCTAATCATTTGTTGCCTCGGTGCTTTAATTTCCTTGTCTATAAAATGAGAGATTGCATCTTACATTCTTCAATTCAGTACCAAAATTCTGTTATCTTACATTTTCTCCCCCATGTCTCCAGACAAGTGATTACTAGAATCTTAAAACATTCTTGTTCATTCTTCTGTGTTTTTCTCATTTTTCTTGCCTAAAATACCCTATGTTTCTTGTAAATAATCTATGTTTTGATGTTGGATGCAACTACCTTAAGACACTAGATAACATATATTTGTAAAAATATAGTTAGTGGTTGACCCTTTTTTAAATTTTTTTATTTTTTGGTACCCAGGGATTGATCCCAGGAGCACTTAACCACTGAGCCACATCCCCAGTCTGTATATGTATGTATGTGTATATATATATATATATATATATATATACACACACACACACATATACATATATATATTATTGGAGACAGGGTCTCCTTGAGTTGCTGAGGGCCTAATCTAAGTTGCTGAGGCTGGCTTTGAACTCATGATTCTCCTGCCTCAGCCTCCCAAGTTGTTGGGATTGCAGGGATTTGCCACTGCACCCAGCTAGTGGTTGGTTGACTCTTATCCTCAGTCCAGCCACTATTTTCATTTCATTCATTTTCTAATAACATTTTATATAAATGAATTGTTGGACACCACTTACTAGCAATACAGCAGGAGTTTATGTTACTACTGTCTTCTGAGAAAATATCCCATCACTTTTACTGGTTTCTTTGTGCTAATTTTTACACTTAAAATTTGTTTAAATTATTTTATATAATTCTTTGAAACAAATTTTGTTGTTTTATGTTCATGGAAAATGTTTTAATGCCTTAGACTTATTCTTGATATCAGGTAAATTAGTTTCACTCCAATATTAGGAAATACTTGATAAGTCTTATTATGTATTAGAAATAAGTAATTTCTTATCTCACCAATCAGATAAGAAAAACCCTTGAGCTCTACAGATTTATATCTGTTATTTACTTGTAGAAACAAGAAATCTTATTTCCTTCAGCATTTGTATTGACATAGACTTGTTTATACTGTACAGTGAATTTGATTAGTCAGAAAATATAGTTTTTGTCTTTGTGGCTAATCAAAAATTACCTTCCCCATTATATATATAAATTTCCACATACCAATTTTATAGGGCTTTTTTCCTCAACTCATTGTCCCATTTTAATGTTTTCTAAATATCTTTCTCTTAGAGTTCACTGAACAACAGAAAGAATTTCAAGCTACTGCTCGTAAATTTGCCAGAGAGGAAATAATCCCGGTTGCTGCAGAATATGATAAAACTGGTGAAGTAGGTATACAAATATTAGGGAGAAAAAATTTTACATTTTTTACAAGATTATATAATCAGACTAGGAAAGTTTTAAATGTATTATAACTGAGGTGTTTTGTTTTTTTTTTTTCTTTTAGTACCCTTTCCCCCTAATTAAAAGAGCCTGGGAACTTGGTTTAATCAATACACACATTCCCGAGAGTTGTGGTAAGCTTTCTTCACATTTTTAGTCCCAGAATACACTTGAACAAGAAAAATTATGAAACTCTACCCATTGTTTTAAATATTTGTTGACATTAAGTRACTTTTTGCCTTTGTTTTCTGGTTCAGACTACAGTATTTGTCTGCTTTTAAAAGCCTTGTGCAAAACACAGGCATTTTTTTCCCTCTAATTGATCAATTGATCCTGAACTTTGGTATTTCTCTAAAGTTCTAGAGTTGGTTAGTTTGTTGCATTTTGTTTTTTTTATTTTTCCCAAGAATTTCATGCGTTTTAATCCTACCTTGCATTTTAGATTTCATTGAGACTTTTTTTTTGTATGTGAGATCATTACTCTTTTTTTTTTTTTTTTTTTGGTCGGTACTAGGGAGATTGAACCCAGGTCCTTGTGTTAGCGAGGCAAGTGCTCTACCATTCTACCATTGACCCACATCCCCAGCTTCCAGAACATTACTCTTTTCAACAGATCAGTGGGTCAGAGTTTTTGCAGAGTTAAAGTGAGTTTTTACAAAATCAAGTTTAAACAGAAATGTAGATCCAGATTACAAATAGAGAATTTTTGAARTATTTAAAATTTATTTTAGAAAAGTATGGAATTAAAAGTATGGCTTGTTATTATTGCCAGCCAAAACATTTACAGATATTATATTTGTATATTTCTTTTAAARCAAAATTAGGCCATGAGGGGAGGGAAATCTCATTAAAATCAAAGGAAGATTAGTGGAGGAAAGAAACTACCCTGATGTGGGGAAGAAGGGGAGAAGTGCAGGGGAGTGACAATGGCCAAATTATATTACATTGTGTGCATGTACAAMCATGTAACAACAARTCCCATCATTATGTACAACTGTAATGCACCAATAAAAAATGTGGGGAGAAAAAAAGAACTCAGAATACCATTAATATAGGAAACTGGAGAAAATGTAATTAATGTTTTTTAAAATGTGAATTAAAAAAATAAAAATTAAGCCAAATTGAAGTAAGTTAAAATAGTTCACATACAGTTTTGTTGAGATGCATTACACATCAGAATGGGCTCTTAAAACATTTTGATGCCGTAGGAGGACTTGGACTTGGAACTTTTGATGCTTGTTTAATAACTGAAGAATTGGCTTATGGATGCACAGGGGTTCAGACTGCTATTGAAGCAAACTCTTTGGGGGTAAGTTACTTAAAAAATTAATTGCTAACTGAGCTGTTAATGAGACAGTTAACAGCTAAGTTAGATTAATATTAAAATAGTTTTGTTTTTTGTTTTTTCAAAAAGAAACACAAGTTTCAGCAGTGAAGCCCAGGGTATGATACTAAGGCTTCCTTGCTCTGGTCTTTTGCCTCTAGTACTTGAAGTCCTAGTTGTCCTTGTGGGGAAAGTGTATACTTTTGGCTACAGCTATAGTGGGAATTCTTAAGTAAGGGCAAGGCCTAGAGCCAGCCTTCAGGAACCAATCAGGTTGGCTTGCTGCCACTATTAGCAGTGCTGAAATTTAGTGAGCAGTTCTTAGGAGGCCAGATTATATATACTAAGTCATGCATTCTAAATTTAATCCTTTATTAGAGCATTTTACTAAAGTAATAAGTAATAACTTATATGAAAATACTGACAGTAGCAGATGTATTACTTCATGGCTTTAGCTTTTTAACTTGAAGGCAGAATGAAAACCAGTTCTATGAACTTACCTCTTGTGGAGGAAATAGTTCTTTTCTTGTTTTGAGTTGTAATATCTCTGAATTTACATATTTAATAAAAATGTCTTGCTTTTTAATGTCTGTTTTCTTCATTAGCAAATGCCTATTATTATTGCTGGAAATGATCAACAAAAAAAGAAGTATTTGGGGAGGATGACTGAGGAGCCAATGATGTGTGTGAGTATGTATAGCTACTACTTTATTTTATATTTCACATTTACAAAGAGTTTTGAATCTATATGTATATACTATTCTATATGACATTAAGATAAAAGTAGTCAACATATTTAGGTAGAGTGAAGTTCTAAGATGCCTATAAAGTGTCATAATAATCCCCTTTCTTATTTCTAGAGGAGAGATATCTACTAAATAATGTTTTCAGGAGAACAGTATCTATTTAATGGAGCACTATCTACTTAATTCTGCAGTTCAAGAACTAAGTGGTTCTTCTGAAGAACCACTTCTGAGGAAGTTCAGATTAAATGTATAACAGTAGATGTTTGAATTAGTGAGAAACTAATATAAACCTGTGACTGAAGAGATTAACTTATTTTTTTAATGGCCAGTTGACTTGGGGAGTATATTTGTCATTTTATTTGAAAGCAATTCAACAAATTTTTAAAATGAATTTAAAAACAAAAACAACAGCAACAACAACACACATACATATATACAAGGTTCTGTTTTGAAATTGTTCTTTATTGAAGGATTTTTACCTGTTGATTAGCCAAATATCCATCTAGGGTGTGTTTATAATAGTGAAATATAGTAGATTATTATGAATTTTAAACTAATTGAGAGAATTCATCTGAAAGAGTAGAAAGCAATATTTTAAAATAAATTATTTTATTCATTGCAGATACTTAAAAGTCAGGCAAACTACTTATAAAGACATTCATACATATTTACGAGGTAATTGGAAATTATAGCGTTTAGTGTAAATATTCTCAATATTGTCTAAAAACTGCATAAAATATCTAGATTCTTCTCTTGTAGCATATATATTGATAGACATGGGTTAATCAATTGAAGCATAGAAATGYTTAAGTGAACCTACCATAATACATTGATAAGAATATTTATACTAGTTATAAATAGGTATTTCTAAAATATTTGAGTCTTTAAATATAACCCAAATATTCAAACTTTTTTAAAATAATACCTTCAATATATGTAAAAATACATTTACTATTCCCTCTTTTGATAACTTCTAAATTAATGAAGATTTTCTGTGCATTTTTCTCATTCTAGGGCTAAATAGCAGTAGTTGTACTTAAAATATTAAGCTGAGGGTAAAAATAGAAAGTATCAATAAGTTTTGATAACTTAAATTGATTCAGTTCATTATTTAAATTTTAATACATTTTTAAAATTGTAAATAGTAGAGAAAACTTAGAACTGTATCAGGAAGAACAAAAATATCTGTAATTCTAAAGATATGAAGCTAATTGGGATTGCTATTTTATATTTCCTAYTAGATTTTTAAATGTATAAATATTTTTCTGTATTTTAACATCATATTAGATATGCAATTWTATATCTTTATTTAATATCATGAGCACTTTCTTATGCTCTACTTATTTTTAAATGCTTTGGTATTTATTACTGCAATATGGTCTTTAATGTATACACTATAAATTACTATTCTACACTGTTTAATATTGAAACTTCTTAGATTTTTGCTCTTAAAAAATGCCATGGAATAATTGATACATAAAAATTAACACAGATCTTTATATTTAACTTCACAGAACAGATAYATTTATTATTGTTTATTTATAACTTAGCTGATCTTATAGTCACATATGCCCTACCTGAGGAGATAAATAAGGGCAAAACCATAACTTTTAATGYCATTTACTGCAAAAACATTTTGTAAAGTCAGAATTATTAATTAATATTATATATATGATATTCTAAGAATTAAGAGCCATATTTTATTTTTTAAGCAGTATATACCTAAAATATATGTGTAGCACTAGATAATTTATCACTTCTTAACCTTTGCCTAAGATCAAGTGTAAACTGTTCAATAGCTTGTTATGGGGACATTCAGTAAAACTCATTTGTCTAAACATAGTCTTAGAATCCAGAAGTGTAAAACACCCCCTGGTAAATAAAACTCTAAACTAGAAAATTGCTGGAATGTGCCTAACAGATCTAAACTTGGATTCTAAAGACTGGGCTTCAGGTCTTAACTCGTCATATAACAGCAGGATAATCTTGTATATTCACTTAATCTTGAAGTCTTTACTAAACATTGAGTGTATAATGTTTTAAAGGGATATAGTAAAGAAAAACAAGATAACTTATGTTTCTATAGGAATATCTTCACTGAGTGTTGCAAAAATATATTAGCGAAATGCCTTTCATACCTAATGGCTAGGGGAACTGCTTCTCTTATAACTGCTTTTCATGATATATGCCAGACTTCACTTATGGAAATGCATACTTGAAACTTATAGGGCTGGGGATGTGGCTCAAGCGGTAGTGCGCTCACCTGGCATGCGTGCGGCCCAGGTTCGATCCTCAGCACCACATACAAACAAAGATGTTAAAAATAAATATTAAAAAARWAAAWTAAAAAAAAGAAACTTATAACTAATACTGTTTTCTCTCTTTTGGTAAGTAGGAAAACTTGAGCCAATTTTTWCTCTAGTAATTATTTGAACCTCAAAACATGTTGCTGTGTATTGTTTTTCTTTCTAGTTTTATTTCTTTTACCCTAATTTTTTTTGTTTTTAAATATATAAACTATCTAATTCCTTTAAAATGCTTTAATACCGCCCAGAAAATTTAAACAAAGAATAAATGCAATATTGCTTTGTGAATTATATAAATGTAAGGAGGTGGTATTATCATTAATAAAGAAAAGCATAATGTTATACTTATTCAAATATTTTGAGTTGTAAGCCAGATAGACTGAGAATAGAATGTAAAGAAGACAGGGCTTCTCCTTTTAAGGAGTTAGGAATCTGATAAACTTATATCTTTATGCAGTGTCTAYTTACTAATTATGAACAAAAAAATGTACTGATTTGATTTCCTTGATCTTCTAGTTTGCAAATTCACATCTAATGTTGGAAATCAAACTAGTTAGAATAATGAAGATGAAAGATTTTAGGGACATTGTTTATTAAACAGTATTATCAATCCTATCTTCAAGAGATTGTGATGTAGAATAAGAAAAACAACATGAGCAACTACATTTTTGTGTATAATGCTGTATCATACCAAATAGTGAGGTAAAGGAGGAAATAAGTTACAATGAAAAAAAAAGGGGATTCTTCTTCTAAAAGAGGGTTAGAAAAAGTAAATTAATTRCTAAACAATGGTCAAATAAGATTAAAAAACAACTCCAAAGAAGCAGCAGTGACAAGCTATTTTGTATCCAAAGACAGACCCATCCATATATTTTATAAGCTCTAAAAATTTTGCCTTATTAAGAAGAAACATGTCTAATAGTATATTTTTTAAAATTATTAAAGATGGTTAACACAAAATTTTGGTACTTCAGAGGATCATCTTTTCTGGTCAGTTCATTTGWATAAAACCTTATTTTGTTAATGATGCTGAACACTTTATTGAATCTTCAAATAGAGTAATCTAGTTCACTTAACCTCTGTGAMAAGTGAGTTTGTTCTACTGCATTCCTGTCCAAAAGCCATTATGCTCATGTTTTCATACCTTGAGTGCCTGGAGTCAAGGCTTTTTGAAGTAACTCCCTTTGGGAGCATCTCTAACCAACATTACATGTACCAAGTGACAGTTTTTATCATTTCTTTTTATGAAATTTTACTATAATATCATTATAGGTATCCAATAAGTACTTAATAATGTCATTATAGTTTCCTTCCACTAGTTCAAATTATTTCCCTTAGATGTAGAGCCCTTTTGATATTTGAGTATGGTTTGTTTGTGGGTTTTTTTTTTTTTTAAGAGAGAGAGAGAGATTTTTTTATATTTATTTTTTAGTTTTCGGTGGATACAACATCTTTTTATTTTATTTTTATGTGGTGCTGAGGATTGAACCCAGTGCCGCGTGCATGCTAGGCGAGCGCGCTACCGCTTGAGCCACATCCCCAGCCCCAAGTATGGTTTTTATTCAAACAKCACCTGAAAGATGATTCTTGCTGTTATTATAATTCCTCTTTAAATCCATCCTTCAAACTTTTGTAATAGTAAACTTAAAAGCACATCCAAATGTGTTTGCAAATGTGTTTACAAAGGCATTCAGTGGTTCTATATTATCAATTGCACTAGAACATAAGGTATGTTTAAATTTGTGAATCCATTTCCAAATCTGACTTCCTCTAAAAAAAAATGTATATACTATTCACTTTTGCACACTAGGGTGTTATCTATTCTGTTGAAGCCTATCTATTTGATTCCTTAAGATTCCATGGCATAATAGTAAGCAGTCATTTAACTATTCTGTTGAATGCATAAAAATATTCTCTCCTCAGTGTGACATATCATTTGGCCTCCATGAGCTCTTCCCTGCCTGCTTCACCAGCCTCTTTTTATGCCTTTAAGTTTCTCCTTACATTTTAGTACTGAACTGTTGGTAGTTTCCTCTACACATTTGCTCCTTCATTCTTCTGGAGCCTTAGATCTATTTACCTCACTCTTGTTATTTAAAACTTACCTTTTCCAGCAAGTTTTACTTCTTTTCAACCTCCATACCTCCCATCATCTCCCAACCCTCCTGTAACAAGTTAAGTAATTATTGTATACTTTGATTTTAAATTAAGATTTCTTTCTTCTTTAGACTCTTAAGTAACTTAAGAGCAATAAACCTGTGTCTTTAGATGGTATATATCCACTGTACCTTTTGCTCAATAAACTCAAATTAACTTGAACTTGCTAACTCTTGCCTCCCTAGATTCCCTTTATCCATTACTGGCTGTCTATTGTCATTCCTCTGTTGAAGAGCCTTAAGAAGCCATCCTGTTTCTAATAGATACAATTTAAAATTTTTAGTTTGATATAATGGGTTCTTTGTCATCTGTTTTGTTCCTTTTATCCAGACTCATATCTTATCATTCCTTGCATGCACWGTATATAATATAATATATTCACATATTATAGAAGTCCAGTACTTCTAGCATTTCAAATACTAGATAACCCTATTTCTTTTCTTGGTGTCATATTCTGTACTGCTGCCTAGAAAACATCTATACCAAGATTACATGGTAACAATTCTTATTCCTCCCCSCAAAGAATTGCTTTTCCATTTGAGACTTAATTTAAGCATCATTTCTAGTAAGATAGTTTTTCAACTTCTTTGTGCATAATTTTTACATTTAGACATATAGTAACAATAAGGTTATTTATCTTTACTGTTACATTGTAAAACTTTCTAGGACAAGATTTCATTTCTGGTTTCCCATCTCCTACTTGATAGTCTAGTATACTCAAATGTTCCAGGAAATGAATATATATTGAATTGAATTAAATGAATTTGTTTGAAGATACCTAGCATTTTAATTTTTTATATTATTTATTAGTGTCCTACACCCAATTTTAATTTATACATTAAATATTTTTACATTTGAGACATTTATTTGATTTTCTAAAAATGTTTTAATTTTTGATATTTTAAAAATAATTGAACTACTTGCTTTAAAAATAAAATATGGGGACTGTGGAGATATAGCTCAATCATGTGCAAGACCCTGGACTCAGTCCCCCAAATTGCAGAAAYAAGACAAAACAAAATTCTGTTTCTATACATTTATAACTTAGTACTTAGCCTTTAATTTTTTCTTTTATTCCACATATTCAAGGCTTACTGTGTAACAGAACCAGGAGCAGGCTCTGATGTAGCTGGTATAAAGACCAGAGCAGAAAAAAAAGGAGATGAGTATATTATTAATGGTCAGAAGATGTGGATAACCAACGGAGGAAAAGCTAATTGGTATGCTTTTTGAAAAATTTCTGTATATTTCTTCTTAATGACTTTTTATTCAGAATCTTCCCTTTCTTCCTCTTTTTATTTATTTATTTTTAAAAAACTTTTAGTGGTATGAGGATTGAACCTAGTGGTGCTTTGCCACTKAGCTATATTCCCAGCCCTTTTTATTTTTTATTTTGAGAGAGACTTGGTAAGTTTCCCAGGCTGGCCTTGAACTTGTGAACTTGCCTTAGACTTGTGAGTAGCTGGGATTACAGGCATGCACCACCACACCCAATTTTTCTCTTATTTTTAARCCACTATAATTAAAGTAAATCATGTTCATGAACTAGAAGGTCCATAAGAGATTATAAGCAGTTCCATAATTCAAGAACTATTTTGGGGCTGGGGTTGTGGCTTAGTGGTAGAGTGCTCGCCTAGCATGCACAAGACACCGGGTTTGATCCTCAGCACCACATAAATGTAAAATAAACATATTGTATCCACATAAAGCTTAAGAATAAACATTTTTAAAAAAGAACTATTTTGAAGCCCCTGAACTGCTTGTTTCAGATTAAGAAGTTTAATTTSTAAAATAAAATACCTACTCTGGTTAAATTTGATTACAAAGGCTAGTCTTCCATCTGTTTGATTTATTACCTCCACTTACCCATCTCCTATACCAGCACTTTCTTGGAACCTCTAAAAGTATAAGGGAATAGGACAATTATTGGTATAGAACATTTCTCTGATCTCATAAATAGGGAGAGACTTAGAGAATTCAGAATTTGACTTTAATAATATTTAGAAGGAGTTTGGGGATGTAGCTTAGTGATAGACCATTTGCTTAATATGTACAAGGCCCTGGGTTCAATTCCCAGTACTAGCAAAAAAAATTTAAATTAAAAAATTTTATATGTATATTTATACACATATATATGTATATACACAAACATACACATATACTTATATAGGTCTAAAAATAATGAAATTAAGGTAAACCAAAGATTAAAACATCCTTTGTTTAAATATAAAGTGTTAAAAAATACTTGGTTATTTGTTAAAAAAAAAGAAAGTAAAGTCTAATAAATAACTATAAATTTAATGGGATTAAACAATATATCAACCTTTACAAAACAAATATATGGCTGGGGGTATACTCAGTGGTTAGAGCACTTGCCTAGCATGTGTACAGCCCTGAGTTCCTTCCCTAGCACCAAGGGTAGAGGGGGAGCTAAGCTGAAGTAATAGAGATATAGCCAAACAAGAGTTAAAAAAGAAAGTWATAGGTAACACATTTTAAGACATATATTCAGAAGCAGGTAAGTGTCTTGTATTAGGAGGAAGCTATAAGACATTTGTAAAAAGTAAAGCACGTAGGTTTAGTTATTTTTGAATAATCTTGAAATTTTTGAAATAATATATAGAAAGACTAGTAGGCTTGTAAGTTTACTTTAGAAAGCCAGTTTAGAATTAATGGATGAGCCAAATRTGGTGGTACATGCCTATAATCCCAGCCTCTCAGGAGTTTGAGACAGGAAGATCACAAGTTTGAAGCCAGCCTGGACAACTTAGTGATATCATGACAAAAAACAAAAAATAGAACGGAGTAGGGATGTAACTCAGTAGCAGAATGCCCCTAGGTTCAACTCCCAGTACTGCAAAACTCAAACAAAAAAGAATTAATGAGTGAAAATCAGAAAAATGTAGAATTTAGCTCAACATAAGAACAAGCTTTTCAACAATGCTGTCCTATATGTGTTTTGTATATATTTGCCCATCACTGCAAGTACATAAATAGGGAATTCTTTGAAAGAATTTAGTGGGCAGGGTGTGACAGTGTACACTTATAATCTCAATGATTCAGAAGACTGAGGCAGGAGGATTGCATGTTGGAAGCCAGCACAGCAACTTAGCAAGATCCTCAACAACTTAGTGAGACTCTGTTTCAAAAATAAAAAGGATTGAGGATATGGCTCAAGAGTAAARCACCTCTTGATTCAATCCCCAGTACCAAAAAGAAAAAAAAAAAAAAGAAGAATTTAGTGATCGTGATAATGTACTAACTGACTGCTATCTATCTGAAACTACTATCTGAAAATAATTCTGATTCAATGTATTTGTGTGATATATAGTACAAGTTTCTAGCAAGTAAAGAATCTGAAGCTCAGTGGTGGTAAAGCACCTGCTTAGCATACATAAGACCTTGAGTTCAATCCCCAGCACTTCTCAAAATAAATAAATAAAAATAATCATTCTTGGGAATGAAGTTATTGTTTATTTTAAATATATGTCAGTCCCTTTTAGTATCCTAAATATATACATTGTGATAAAGTGCTATAACATTATCATTAAGCATCCCAATATCAGCAAGTCATAAAAAAGTATCTATTAGTTGGTGTAGTAGTGAATGCCTGTAATCCCAGCAACTCAGGAGGCTGAGGCAGGAGGATTGCAAGTTGAGAGMCAGCCTCGGCAATTTAGCAAGATCCTGTCCTAAAAACAAAAAGCAGGCTGGGGATGTGATTCCATGCTTAGGTACTCTTGGGTTCAATTCCTGGTACCAAAAATTAAAAAGTAAGTATTAAAATTTAATAAGTTGAGAAATCTAACAACACAATTTGAAATATCCAATGTCAAGAACTAGAGTCTTCACATACAAATTAGGTACTACAAAAACTAAAAAAGCAATTTTCAATTTTTTTCTATAATTAAATAAAACCATAGAGTCAAGATAGTTTATTAGTTCAAAGCACAGGAAATAAATTTGTTATTTAAGGAGGAATATGTCYCCCCCCTTTTTTTTGATGCTGCCTGGGATTGAACCCAGGGTCTTCCACATGCCAACCATGCAGTCTACCACTAAACTATCCCCTGGCCTTTTTTTCCCATTTTCCCATTTTATTATTTTCTTCCTTTTGAGACAGGGTCTCGCTAAATTGCTGAAGCTTCCACAAACTTGCAATCCTCCTGCCTCAGCCTCTAGAGTTGCTAGGATTATAGGTGTGCACCACCATACCTGATTCTTTTTAAAACATTTTTAGTAAAATTCTGTATATGCAACTTTTTGAATATTTTGCATTTCCCCCCTCATTCTTTATTTAAAAATCTTTCTGGGCAAAATCCTAGAGGTAGGAACCAGCARTATTCATAATTCAACTATAACAAATACACTGACTTTGCTGCATAAAAGGGACAGTAGTGCCATGCACAGCTGCTATAATCCCAGCAGCTCAGGAGGCTGAGGCAGGAGAAGCACATGTTCAAAGCCAGTTTCAGCAATGGTAAGGCACTAAGCAACTCAGTAAGACCTTGTCTCTAAATAAAATACAAAATAGGGCTGGGGATGTGGCTCAGTGGTTGAGTGTCCCTGACTTCAATCCCAGGTACCAAAAAAAAAAAAAAAGAGTGGAGGGGGTGGCGGGGACGGTAGTTGTCAGAACATAGAACATAATRGTCAAGATTATTATTCCTTTTCATAGGCAACCCTCTTTGCCCTCCTTTTCTCTGAGAGCTTGTCCCTTAAAGAATAAAATTGATTTGCAGTCTGGGTGTGATGGCACATGCCTGTAATCTTAAGAGACTCAGGAGCCTGAGGTAGGAAGATTGCAAGTTCAAAGCTAGCCTCAGCAATTKAGTGAGGCCATAAGCAGTTTAGCAAGACCATGTCTCAAAATAAAAACGGCTGGGATGTATTTCAGTGATTAAATGCCCCTGGATTCAGTCCCCATTACCAAAATAAAAACACAAAACACACAGAAGGACTGGCAATGTAGTTCATTGGTTGAGTGCCTCTGGGTTTAATCTTTAATACTTAAAAAAAAAATTGATATGCAGGAGGGAAAAAATGCCAACTGCACCCTATATATACTTTTCTTTTTCATATTACATTATCTTATACAAGGAATTTTAACTTATACYACAAAAAAATTAAATACTGTATAAGTCAAGAAGTAGACCTGGGTTGAAATGCTAATTCTGCCACATAGTAGAAATGTAACTTGTGCAGGTTTTGTAACCCATCTGATTCTTCATTTTCTATGATAAGCTGTGAGTAATAATAATTGGGATTATTGGGAGGATTGAGATAACATTCACCATGTGTTATTAATTAATATCATTATCACTATTAATGTGTGTATTTATTTTAGGTATTTTTTATTGGCACGTTCTGATCCAGATCCGAAAGCTCCTGCTAATAAAGCTTTTACTGGATTTATTGTGGAAGCAGATACCCCAGGAGTACAGATTGGAAAAAAGGTAAAATGTATATTTATCAATGAATAAGATCTCAAATATTATTTTAACTATAATTATCAAAGTTACTATTTGTAACTTTGATGATAACATGAAATATTTTATATGTTGCYGAAGGCTTTAAATTGAGAAGAGTCATTTCACGTTATTTTGAAAGTCTGCCCATTCATAGTATCAAGCTATGAAGAATACTAATATTGTAAGGTGTAATGAAACAGAAATCACACTATCATTTATATTTCAAAGGACTTTCCCACTCTTTTTCCTTTTGGATTCTCCCCATAAGCTTTTGGTAAGATAAGTGACATTGTGCCCATTTCCTGTGTTAATGTGATATAAATGGACTAYCCAAGATTATATAACATTAAGTCAACCATCTATGCCTGAAAGAATGTGGGATGGCAAAGCACCTAAAATATAAAAAGAAAAAAAAATTACTTAAATAAGAAAAGGTGGTTCAACATATTTGAAAAAGGTTGTAATCTGAATGTGTGGAGATAATTTAGCACTTAAGAAAATTTAAAACTTGACAAATCAAAAAAAAATATAGTAATTAAAGTAGTCCTAGTAGGAGCTCACAAAGCATGGTTTAAGAGTCTAATTCTGAGCCGATGAGGAAGCCTGTGTTGGCAGGGACATKTGAGAGAGCTGATGAATGCCAATGGCTCTGATGGTGGCAGGGAAGGAAACAAAAAAMCTATAACCATACAATGTACCTAAGGCAAAGGAGGATTTGTGGATGTTTATTATGAATTACTGGAGGTTATATGAACATATTTTCTTCTTCCCAGATGGGAAAAAGTATAGATTATCTGATCAGATATTAGAGTAGATCTACATAGCTTTAACTGGAGAAACTAATTTGAATTGATTTTTAAAAAATTTCTAAACCAGTCTTATGTATGTGTAGAATCCTGTTTTATTAAACTACATCAGAATCTCTATGTTGTGGTGCATGCCTGTAATTCCAGCTATTCAGGAGGCTGAAGCAGGAGTTGGAGACAAGCCTGGGCGATTTATGGAGACCCTGTTTCAAAATAAAATGGAAAGGGGATGTAGCTCAGTGGTAGAGCACCCATGGGTCCAGTCCCTAGCACTGCAACAACAACAAAAAAATCTTTCCTGTTGTATCCAAACCTCCTTAAAATGGAAGTATGTAAACTTCTCTTTTAAGTTGTGAAATTTTAAAGGTGGAAGTTACCCTACATGTTATTTATTTCAGTCTCTTCACTGATTATTGAATTTGAGAACCAAGTTAATGATTTACTTAAGGTCACAAACCTAAGAGGCTGAATTGAGATCAGTAATAAAGTTTTCTAGGAACTTGTCCACTGCAGTTTCTGACACATTATTGTGCTATATTTTTTAAAAGAACACATTAAAGGTAGGCTACACCTAGTGATATTATTTATAAAACAAAATATAAGTACTAAGAATGTTGTGTTTCTTCAAATAACTTGAATTTTATTTGTGTAACATGTCATGTTTCCTGCTTAGGGATGGTTGCTAGCAAACTCAGGGCCAATTTTATGGCCCATCTRTAGAAATAAAGTATGAAAGACTTACCAACTTACATTTCTTTTTTCCATAGTAAATCCACTCCTAATTTTATCTTGMTATTTCTAATCTCATTGTCTTTTTATCCAGTTTTCTCACTTAAAGCATCTCTAATTCAATAAATACTATTATTGAGTGCAAGTAGGCACCATTCTAGGTTTTAGGGATAGTGCATTTATTAAAACAGATAAAATCCCTTGTCTTTGGAGAACTCACTTTCTAGTGAAGGGGTACAGATAATTATATTGTATATATTTAAGCCTTCTCAAATCTTTTTGAAACAAATGGCCAGTTGCAAAATTTGATGTTTTCAAAATGTTGTGTGTTTTAGAAATTATATAGTTTGAGTTGAATCAAGGAAGCATTTTGGTTTTAAATGTGGGGCTTGGAGGTGATTCTGGGAAACAGGTTAAACAGTGTTTTGTAAATAATGTTTTTTCATTATACCTGAATGGTAGTCTAAGGTACTAGTGTTTATTGATTTATAAAGGCAAAGTAAAGGGATATTGGTTTTTCCTGAGTCAAACTATACATTGTCACTATTTGTTAAAACCTAGAAGAATATTATTAATATTTAAACAAGAAAATTAAAGGATAAGCTTATAGCTTTATGTTTCCATTGCCTGTTTCTCCTCTTGCTTATTAAAACAAGATTAATTATTTTTCCTTAAAGAGGAGAGTCATTGTCTGCAACTTCTCTTAAATAATTCAGTATGATGCTAATAGTTGCATACATACACAGTGAAAGAAAGAAAGTAATGTGTCAAAATGTCAACAATTGGTGAAATTAAATAAAAGGTATATTAGTACTCATATTACTTCTACAACTCTTCTATTARTTTGAAAATTTTCAAAGCAAAGAGTTGAAGAAATATATAGTTTAGCAATTTCTTATAAATTTATAAGAAATTATAAACATACACCACATACCCAGTACTTCTAGGTATTTATGTGAGAGAAATGGAAACAAAATCCTATGCAGAAATATTTTGGCTAGTTTATTCCTGATTGCTAAAATTGGGAGGAAACAACATCAGAAAGGCTACATAGGACAAACTCAAAACCAGCATCATAATGAATAGGGAAAAACTGAAACCATTTCCTTAAAATCTGAAACAAGACAAGGATGTTAACTCTCACCACTCCTATTCAGTATAGTAACCAGAAATTCTAGCCASAGCAATTAGGTAAGAGAAGGAAATAAAAGTGATAAAAATAGAAAAGGAAGAAGTCAAATGATCACTGTTGCAGATGATATCATTCTATACTTAGAAAGATCCAAAAAGATCTACCAGAAGACTACTAGAGGTAATAAACAAATTCAGGCGGGGGCGCAGTGGCACATGCCTGTAATCCCAGTGGCTCCAGAGGCTGAGGCATGAGGATCATGAGTTCAAAGCCAGCCTCAGAAATGGCGAGGTTCTAAACAACTCAGTGCAACCTAATCAAAATACAAAATAGGGCTGGGGATGTGACTCAGTGGTTGAATGCCCCTGAGTTCAATCCCTGGTACCAAAAAAAAAAAAAAGAAAAGAAAAAAAAATTCAGCAAAGTAGCAGATTCCAGAATCAACATACAAAAATCAGCAGTTTTCCTATACACCAATATTGAATCTGTTAGAATGAAATCAGGAAAACAATCCCATTCACAATAATCTCAAAAAGAAAAATAAATAAAAAACTGCCTAGAAATAATTCTAACCAAGGACTTGAAAAACCTCTATGATGAAATCTATAGAACATTGCAGAAAGAAACTGAAGAAAACACAGGAAGATGGAAAAATCTCCCAAATTCACAGATAGGCAGAAATAATATTGTCAAAATGGCCAATGTTGTCAAAAGCAATATTCAGGTTTAATGCAGTCCCTCAATTCCCATCAAAATACCATTTTATCTCACTCCAGTCAGAATGACAGACATCAAGAATACAAACAGGGGGGCTGAGGTTACAGCTCAGTGGTAGAGTGCTCGCCTAGCGCAGGTGAGGCACTGGATTCAATCCTCAGCACCACATAAAAAATAAATAAATAAAAATAAAGGTATTRTTCACTTACAACTAAAAACAAATATATTTTAAAAATAATACAAACAGAATTTTGTTGAGAATTTTTGCATCAATGTTCATCAAGGATATTGGTCCGAAATTTTCTTTCCTTCATGTGTCTCTGCCTGGTTTTGGTATCAGGATGATACTAGCTTTGTAGAATGAGTTTGGAAGGGTTCCTTCATTTTCTATTTCATAGAATAATTTGAGAAGTTTTTGGTATTCTTCTTTGTAGGCCTTGTAGAACTCAGCTATGAAACCATCTGATCCTAGGCTTTTCTTGGTTGGTAGACTTTTGATGGCTTCTTCTATTTCCTTGCTTGAAATTGATCTGTTTAAGTTGTGTGTCCTCTTGACTCAGTTTGGGTTGATTATATGCCTCTAGAAATTTGTTTGTGTCTTTAAGGTGTTCTATTTTACWGGAGTATAAATTTTCAAAATAGTTTCTAATTGTCTTCTATATTTCAATAATGTCTGTCGTGATATTTCCTTTTTGTGATATTTCCTTTCCTTCTTTGTGTTAAGGTGGCTAAGGATTTGTCAAGTTTGTTTATTTTTTCAAAGAACCAGCTTTTTGTTTTGTCAATTTTTTGAATTGCTTCTTTTGTTTCAATTTCATTGATTTCTGCCCTGATTTTAATTATTTCCTGTCTTATACAATTTTTCATGTTGGTTTGCTCTTCTTTTTCTAGGGCTTTGAGATGTGATGTTAAGTCATTATTTTACTGTCTAATTTATAAACTAAACTATCACATATATGTACATATGATATATATCATACATATATGTATAGATAATATATATGATCATATGATAAAATTTAATTTATAAATATACATATAAATAGTATTTGAAAGATTTGGTACAATTAACAGTTTCAGGCATCCACTGGGAATCATGGAAYATACTCCCTTCAGATAAGGGGAAACTACCTAAAATTTTTCTTTGTGTACATTTGACTTGAGTTAACCTAATTTTTCTTTTCCTATATGGGCCACTGTACAACTGAGCTACATCCCCACTGCTTTTATTTTTTAACTTTGAGACAAGTTGCTGAGTCTGGACTTGAACTTACAATATTCTTGCCTAGGCTAAACCTAATTTTAAGAAAGAGAGGAAAGCAAAATCCAGTTTTTAATCAGTAAATTACTTTGCTAGCTCTGTTAGTTAAGCTAAGATTAAAGACCCTAATCAAATTATGTTTACTAAATGCTTTTCCTGACACTCATGATAAAAAAGATACTTTTCAGACATATACAAAGATTAATCAATTTGTAGACCTTTAGACTAGTATTAATTTCAAAGTTTATGAAATATCATATTCRGCTTGGGATTTGGCAAACACAAGGGTTTTCATAAAGGTCCAAGTTGTGGGCCATAGGGTCTCTGTTGCAATTTATCAATTCTGCCATTGTAACAAGAAAGTAGCCATGGAAGATATATAAACAGACAGGTGTGTTTGTATTCCTTTAAAGCTTTATTTACAAAAAACAGGATTAAGGCCATAATGTGTTGCCCCTGCTTTAGATAATTGCAGAAAGGCGTCTAACAATGATTAAAGCTGAAACTGATGTGACTCAGAAATATTAAAATATGACAATTTTCCTATTAGGAGTTAAACATGGGCCAGCGATGTTCAGATACAAGAGGAATTGTCTTTGAAGATGTGAAAGTACCTAAAGAAAATGTTTTAATTGGTGAAGGAGCTGGTTTCAAAATTGCAATGGGAGCTTTTGATAGAACCAGACCAACAGTGAGTAATATGAGTTTATAAGATTCTTTATTACGTTAAGTAAGTTTTTATTTTAACATTATATGCTTGGTGGGGTTGTTTTTCCTTGTGGTTGTTTGTATCAGGGATTGAACCCAGGAGTGCTTAACCACTGAGCCACATCCCCAGCCCTTTTTTGTGTTTTATTTGGAGACAGGGTCTTGCTGAGTTGCTTAGGGACTTTTTAAGTTGCTGAGGCTGGCTTTAAACTTGTGATTCTCCTGCTTCAGYATCCCAAGCTTCAAGGATTATAGGCACACACTGCTGGGCCTAGTGTGTTTTTAAATGTCTTTATTTTAGTAAGGATGGAGGGGAAATGTTACTTTTATCTTTTGTAATTCTTTAGCTTTTTTTTTTTTTTTGCTGCTCATAGAAATTATTTTAGCAAATGCAAAATTAATGTAGTTTCTGTAGATTTACAGAGARGCAGTCCACACACTTGATCATTTTTGTTGATTATGTATTTCTTATTCCTTTACCTATTAAGAGTATTTCCCCTCTGAGGCTTTCCCTTTTCAAACAGAGAATGTCTGTCTTCTAGGTTATCCTGTGCTTTACAAATGACTACCATTACCTTTTTTAGGGAGGGTTGGTACTAGGGATCAAACCCAGGACCTCTTGCATGCTWAGTGCATRTTCTACCACTAAGGTACATCCCCAGCCTCACCACTACCTTTAATTCATAAATAATTGCCTTGATTCTTCTCACCCCCCATTCTCCAACTGCCTTAAGCTACAGGTCATTTTCTCTTGCATAATCCTTAACATAGATCTTAGGCAGGTAGCCATATATTGTGTTTTAAAGACAACATTAACTATTTCTTTACGAACTATTAAAATACTAGGTAGCAGCTGGTGCTGTTGGATTAGGACAAAGAGCTTTGGATGAAGCTACCAAGTATGCCCTGGAGAGGAAAACTTTTGGAAAGCTGCTTGTAGAGGTAATTTAACACTGTGCTTGTTTTGTAAAATATAAAGACACTTATTTTTATCTGAATACCTATTTCTTACTTTGGTAGCAAGAAGATAACCAGGGTATTATGATGATGGTTTTTAACAATAAATTTTCTTTAGACAATGCCAGTAACCATTGGTTGCTCTGGGGATTATTTTAAGAAGAAAAGGAACAGCTAACATTTATTGGGTACCTCTTATATACCTGGACACTAACTATACTATGTATTTAAATACATTTTCTAATTCTCCCAGTAACCCTTTTCTTCATGGTGCTTTAAATTTAATCTCTCTTAAAGATTTAGAAACTGAGCTTTAGGGATACTAAGTAGTTTTTCCAAGTCTATACAATTTAAAAACCACAAATCCAGGATTCTATTTTATGCTTTTAGTCCGCGTTACTTTCTATATGTTCTTCTGTATCAGATTTTTAGTCAGGTCTTCTTCCACTGTTGTAAATACTTTCCGCACATGAACATTTAATCCTCTCAACAACCTCCATTGCTCCCATTTGACCCATGAGAGAATTAAATCTCAAAAATATTTTACAATTCACCCCAGACCACAAAACTAACATGAAGCAGAACCAGTTTTTGCACCTGGCCTCTCTGAGTCTAGCATATTACACTGTACCTTTATAAAATTTGTCAATCCTACCTCTTAAATATGTCTTTATTTATTTATTTATTAGTTGTAGTTGGACACAATACCTTTATTTATTTTTATGTGGTGCTGAGGATCAAACTCATGGCCTTGCATGTATGAGGCGAGTACTGTACCACTGAGCCATAACCCCAGCCCCTTAAATATGTCTTGATTCCTTCCTGCATCCCCACATCACCACTGTTGTATCTTAATTATGCTGGTATCACTTCCCTTGTAACTGGCTTCTCAAATCCATCTTTCTCATTGTATTTTCTAAAATAGGCATCCAAAGTCATTGCTACTTGCTTTAAAATAATAAATATTCTCATTAACCAATTGAAAATACAAAATCAAGTCTTCTATGAATTACCACAGAAATTCTTAACTCTTCAAACATTGATTTCCCCATTAACTATATTCTGTCATGTATAATCTACCATGTACAGTGAACCTATTTGTATCACCATATGTTAGTGATTCTCAAATAATCTTTGGTGAAGAATGAGTTTAATTTCCAATCAATGGTAGACCATTTTTTAATAAAATATAATAGTGGGTCAACCTAAATTGAGTAACAAAGCTGACTCTGAAACAAAGAGTTTATTTGAAGATAGTAATGGATTATAATATGAATATTCATGCTAGGGCAGATCATAGACACATCTGAGGGAGTTGAGACAATAGGAAACTCTTAAAGATAAAGGAAGTCCATATAAGTTATTCTATAGCAAAGACCATTGGGGACTTGTTGCAGAAGTTGACATTAGCTCATTGGTATAGACAGCCATTGTAGGCAAGTGTTCATGTGCAAGCAAATTATCTGAAATTCTGCAGTTTTGTGGAATACCTTGTGAACTTCCTGTCATARACATACATATGTGAGGGACTTTCCTTTATGGCCTCAGTTCTGTTTCATTAAGACCTAAGTGGCTTTATTTTGTTACTGGCAACTTTCACAAATGTCACAAAATGTTTAATTGCTATAAAAGTTTCTAAATGCTTGCTGTCACCCACCTTCTGTATCATGAACTAGTAATAGGTTGCAGACTACCACTAAGSACAGACCAAATTTGGATTAGTATCTCTCTATTCTGCATTCTAAATGGTTTTCTCAGGTATAGTTTCTAATTTTCTAATCCTATTACATTTTTAATGACAAAATTTAATCTCCATAACATATATTTATATTAGGTTCTTTTCCATTTCTTCCCTTCTATTACGGTATTCTGTTTTTTTTTAACATAGTATCTCTTTTTCCTTTTATCTCCATAATTATGCAAAAATTCTTCATTCATAGTTTACTTCAGATTTTATTCTGTTATCTCTGGATTTCTTAATGCCAGTCTTTTAGTATATTGCATCAGGCAGCTTCATGATGGCCAGTTATCTCCTGTTTTAATTTTTGCTTCTAAGCTTATTGCAGGAGGTATTATTTTTCTTAGTACATTGTTGAAGCAGCCTAGAGCCTGACTTTGGTACCTTTTTTTCTATTTTTGTCAAGTACCACAAAGATTTATCATTCCATAAGCTGTTCTTTTACATTAATTTTTCTACTTGGAACTTCTGTACATTATAAGTACATTATATTAAATGTTAATTTAGCTTATTCATAAATAAGTAATATCTATATATACTATAAAATTAAGATCTGTCATCTTTCAGGTTCTTCTTTTTTTTAGAGAGAGAAAGAGAAAATTTTTTATTATTTATTTTTTTAGTTTTCGGTGGACACAACATCTTTATTTTATTTGTATGTGGTGCTGAGGATCGAACCCAGCACTGCATGCCAGGCAAGTGCACTACCGATTGAGCCACATCCCCATCCCCTTTCAGGTTCTTCTTACCAGATTATCTGAAGATAACTCTTTTTTGACTCTTCTTCAACTTAATATGGAATCTTCTCCTTTTGTGTTCCCTTTCTTATAGGTTCTGAAGATTCTTATTCAGTATAGGAAAAGTCATATGAAGAATTCCTAGTTTTTGCTTACTATTTAATTTAAAATACAGTCTTAGATATTTATCATTTATTTCTACTGAAGATTTGCTTCCCTCTTAAGTACTCTATGAAATGCATTTTAATTAATAAGTATAGTGATGTGGTATCATAATTCCCTGTCACCCTTTTACCAGGTACCCCCAATCTATGTGCTCTTTGCAGCTCCAATCTGCTAGTTTGTGTTCTCTGTATATAGTTAGTATTATGATTAAAAAGAGTCACTTCATACTTGAGATCCATGCTTAAATAATTGTTTAGGCGTTTCATGTCARATATTAGGAAATATGTGATAATATATAACCATATACTCCTCTGGTAACACATAGAAACTTGGAGCCAAGCAAAGTAAAAAACTTAAATCTTTTATGTTGAGTGCATATTATAAACATGGCAGGAGGGAGGTTAAATGGTAAAAATTTAGTATGTTTTGTTAATTTTTAATAAAACTTAGGTTTTACCACCAATATTGTTTTTCTGTCCATATTATTCAGATTCATTTATGACCCTCTGTGCAGTCTACTTTATTCTTCTGCTTATTTACATTGAAATATTAAATTAACACTATAGGACCTGTTCATTACTTTCTAAAAGGAAATGATATTTTATTGTACTTGCTGTTTCTTTTTCTAACTCAAACATAACCAGTCTTGGTATAGCTCTTAGTTATTCCTCATTCTATTTCTATCATTTCTCAGACTCTTTCTTTTTCTTTCTAAGGAACTGGTGTATATGTAGCTTGTGTCCATTAACTCCAAAAAGAAAGATTGGGATTATTCCACTTTCGTTTTTGTTTTTGGTACTGCGGATGGAACCCCAGGGACACTTTACCACTGAGCAACATGCCTTGCCTTTTTAATTTTTTTTTTTTTTTTTGAGACAGTTTCTCCCTAAGGGGCTTGCTTTGAATTTGCAATCCTCCTGCCGCCGTCTCCTGAGAAACTAGGACTATAGGCATGTGCTATTATACCCAGCTGACTTTTATTTTTATTTTATTTTATTTTAGGGGACTATATAGAATGGTACTCTAATAAGAACTTTCTCATTCACTAGTATGTTTATTGTTATTGCTTCTCTCTTTATGTGAATGCTGTGTCCACTTCKTATCTTTGTTTTGCTTAACCTGATGTGGCTGCCTGATAGTTGCTAAAAGTAAGAAGATGGTATTTTTTTTCTTACCAATGATTAAAACCAGAAACATCAGTTATATATTAGGAAGATAAAATCCCTTAATGGCAATAATTGCATATTCTTTTATCTAGTCAAAACTCTTTGAACTGGGTTTGGTGGTGTATACCTGTAATCCCAGCAACTCAAAGGACTGAGGCAGAAGGATCTCAAGTTCAAGGCCAACCTCAGCAATTTAGTGAGGCCCTGAGCATCTTAGTTGAGAACCTGTCTCAAAGTTAAAAAAAAAAAAATTTTTTTTGAAAAGATTAGGGATGTTGCTCAGTGATAGAGTGTCCCTGAGTTTAATCCCAGTAACCACCAAAAAAGAAAACAAACAAAAACACTTTGGGTGAAGTTGGTGTAGTCTAGTCTGGGATATTATGAAAGAATCTATTAAGAATAAACTCCCATTATATTGATTATTATTGTTAATTAGCAATAACTTTTCTCCTACAGTAACCATTTCTTGATAGGAAAGTGGATGAGGGTGAAAATGCTATGAAACTCAAAACTCAAATATGATTTACTTATCAAGAAAAAATATTTACATTTCTTTTTCYTTCCTTTATTTTTTCTGTTTTGCATTCTCCTCTATGAATGGTGGTCAGTGGCAGCCCAGTCAGGAAAAATGGAAAATAATTCATTCTGCCATTCAGAGTAATGAAACTTGGGGCTGCCAGTATTATTTTTCTCTTTGGAAAACAGTATGACTTAATAAAAAAGAGACTGGACTGAAGGTCAGGACTAAATTTGAATCCTCCTTCAACAAAGGAGGATTTTGAGACCTTGAGCAATTTAATTAGCTTCTTTCCACTTTGATTTTGTCATCTRTTAAGTGGGAACTATGAAAACTCTTTCCCTGTGTGATCTTGTATGATTCTATGGCTTTAAAGACAAAATATGTGTCAGTTACTATAAATTATATCTCTAGCCTTGATCTCTTCTCTGAGCTTCATGCTTGGATTTTCAGATGCCTCCTTAACTTCCCTACTTAATGTCCTATAGGAATTTCAAAACTAAATTCACTTTTTGTTCCTTTCCTCTTCCTTAATTATTTTATGGTCAAAATTCTTCCAGTATCTTCTCATCACATGAAGATTAAATTCTAAAGTCTTTCCACTGATCTTCTGTCAACCATTTTGTCTTTTTATTTTTACTTTTCCCCAAAATATGCTTAAGAATAGTTTTTTCATTTCATTCACTTCCCGATTATTTCACTAACAGATCTGCTCTATTCATTCTATGTACAATAATACCTCCAACACTCTATATATTAATCCTGCCCATTTTTCTTCATACTCTTATTACTATCTAACATTATATCATATATATGTTTCTTTATTATCGCCCCTTATACTCTCACTGGAATGTAAGTGAGAAAGGATTTTCTGTTTTTAGAAACCTTTATGCTCTTATCATTTAGGATATATTTTTTTACTGTTAACTTCTATTTAGTTTAATAAATAGTAATTGAACACTTACTATATTAGAATTATAATAATTAGATGCTATTTCTGTTTCAGGCACTATTCTAAGTGCTTTTCATATRTCAATTCATTTAATCCTCAGAATACTGGAGAGTAGGTACTGTTATTTTCATTTATCACATGTAAAAACATTAGGCCTACCCAACAAATGATGGATCCAAGACTTGAACCCAAGTAGTCACTTATTAAAAGAGCCTATCCTCCTTGCATGCTACATGTGGTATTCCAAGGGATAGAAAAGAAATTTAACAGTTTATTCCTTCAGGAACCTTTAATGCTACTTTAGAGGTAAGATACTATCATAAAACAAATATTCTAAAGTCTTAGAAATAAAATAGGGCAGTATAAAATTTAAGTCCTAATCTAAGAACTACAAGGCARAGTAACAAACCAAAAGTAGAGACGTTGTTATGGGCTGAACATAACCACAGGAGGTCTGAACTGGGTTTACCAACTGAATGAGACTCTCTGGGAGTGAGTACCACCCCAGATATTTTAAATCAAAATCTCCTGAGGCATATGGGCAACTTAAAGAAATTTTCTATTATGTATTAGCTTGCCAAAGCTGTGATAAAATAAACATTTGCCCATGTTGTCAATAGAAATATAAATTGGTGCAACTTTTATGAACCACATTTGGCAATATATCAAAAGAACTTAGACTTGGGCCCACATAATCTATATTCCTTAATATTTTTAACTTTCATTTCAGCACTGTGTAGATAAAAACAGAATGTTTATTTTCCATAGAATGGATGGAATACTTTGTAGCTATAAAAAATAAGGAAGTTCTTTATGCATTGATATAGAAAGCTTTCTGAGACAAGAAAAGCAGAATGAAAATCCATCRATGTAGTAGTGTAGAAGATGTGTAAAAATGTGGAAGACTATAGATATGTTTGCTTCCATATGTGAGAATATCTATGAGAATTAAAAAAAAAAAACCTGAACACTGATTAACTCTTAGGAGGGGAATTAAGTGGGGTAGGTAGTGGGCAGTATGGTAGAATAAGAAAGGAAACATTTTTACTATATATCTGTGTTAGCTTTGTGTGGCTATGACAAAATACCTATGATAATCAACTTAATCAGAAGACAGATTTATTTTGATTCATGGYTTCAGAGGTTTCAGTTCATGGTTACTAGGCACTGTCACTTTAGACCTGTGGCAAGGCAGAACATAATGGCTGGCAATATGTAGCAGAGCTGTTTCTCATCTCTTGGTGTCCAAGAAGCAGAGAGGGGTGGGGGTAGGGGCCTGGGKTCCCAATATACCCTTAAAGGGCATGCCCCAGTGACCAATCCTCCACCGAGGCCCCTACCTCCTAAAATTTCTACCACTTCCCAATGCAACATCAGCTCTGGACCAAGCCTTCAGGATGAGAGCTTTAGGGGGACGTTTAAGATCTAAACAACAACCACATCCACTTACAGTTTTTGACTTTGAATTGATAGCTATTTTACTTATTCAAAAATAACAAAATGATTTTTAAAAAGCTGAAAGAATTATTGGATTAGAGGAAAGGAAACAATTCAGGCAAGTTTAAATAAGGGAGGATATTATCCTGCTTATTGCACACAGGAGTTATTCATACTGGTTAATTATGCCTCCTAGAAGACCTAATTACCAAGTCAATCTCAAGCAACTTGTCACATTCCAAAACAGTGCAGCCAGGTTTCAGTTACTAAATATAGTGAATATATGAAATTAAACAGTTCTGGTTTTTTTATGATGGTTGGTTTATATTAGTTTGTAGTCAGATTAGAACATATGTGGTTTTCATAACATCTAAGTTTTCAAAGTCCAGTTTGATGTGCTTACTAAAGGAACAGGTTTCTAGTCCTTTTATTGTTTCTGAATGCCTATAGAGCTTCTTTTAATGTATATTATTTAAAAGCACATGTTATTTTATTGTAAAATATTTTGTATTATAACAATATAAGTTAAATTAAGTAATAAAATTCCATGATYCTATCATCTAGAGATAATTTCAAAGAATATTTCACTCTTTATTCTTTTTTCTATGAGTATATTTTTTCAAATTATACTATATATTTGAAAATTTCACATAATATATGGTAAACATATTCTATCTTGTAACACATCTTGACTATATAAATCATAGAGCACTTACCTATTATTGACAATATTTGTTTTATGTCTATATGGTTATGAATATCTAGGGTTTATGAAGCATGTTATCAGTATCTTACACATTACCATGCTATTTTTCTCTATCTGTAGCAATTTTACTAATAAAAATATCCCAAACGACACTAGAAGAATATATATAAAATTTGTGGTATTTGTGCTCAAAGTACATACATAAGCTTATACCAGTTATGGGAAAGCATTAGATATACCCAAATTGAGAGACAGTCTACMAAAAATGATCAATCAGTATTCTTCCAAAGGGCAAAGTCATGAAAGACAAAGGCTGAGCAAACAGCCTGAGAGAACTTATGAAGAAATAACTAAATTCAGTGTGTGATCATGGAAAAGAAAGGATAGTGGAAAACCTGGCCAAATTTGAGTAAAGTCTGTAGTTTAGTTGATAATATACCAATTATGAATATCCTGTCCTTGCTCATTGTACTGTAGTTGTATAATACATTAACATTAAGGGAAAGTAGGAATAGCTTTTATGCAAGTCTAAAATTAATTTTTAAAGAAGTTCTAGGAGAAAAATTTTAAATTTTGTCAAGAGTTGTCTTTAAATTGCTTTCTTTTTAATTCTAGCACCAAGGAGTAGCATTTTTGCTGGCAGAAATGGCAATGAAAGTTGAACTAGCTAGATTAAGTTACCAGAGAGCAGCTTGGGAGGTTGATTCTGGTCGCCGAAATACCTATTATGCCTCTATTGCAAAGGCATTTGCTGGAGATATTGCAAATCAATTAGCCACCGATGCTGTGCAGATTTTTGGAGGCTATGGATTTAATACAGAATATCCTGTAGAAAAACTAATGAGGGATGCCAAGATCTATCAGGTAAGATTAAAAATGATTTTTTGTTGCTTATTGGGGGATAGAATATTCATAAATAATAGAKTTTTTATTATTTAGAGATTTTATGCCACTAGTCATATAAAACTCACTATTATGGATGGCTGAACTACTTTTTAGAACCAACCTGAACTAAAAAGAATGTTATTTTTGATTAAGTATAGGACTAGAGAGGGACTAGACTAACAAAGTAAATGGTGCAGACATCTATGTCTGGATCAGTGTTCTTTGAGTATTAACATCTTAACTAATTGTAGCCCACATTTTGCTCTCCCCAAAAGTATGCATGCCATTTAAAATTATGTTGAGTCTTGCCTGATTATTCAGATTCATTAAAACCATAGTTGTAGTCAGATGCCACCATGAGGCGACAGTGATATTTGATTTCTAAATTAAATTTGTGGTTAGAAAAACTTAGGTATAATTTAGCAAATAAGGCAAAAATGGGCATCTTCTTCATTCATGGCTTAATTATAAGACATGCTCCTTAATATTCCTTCCCTTGCTGCCTCACCCCCACCAAATTGTTTGACAAATCCAGTCGTTTGAAATCTTGAGTGGAATTAGAATGCTAGAGATGAAGCTGGGGGAAGTGGCACACTCCTGTAATCCCAGCAGCTCGGGAGGCTGAGGCAGGAGGATCCAGAGTTCAAAGCCAGCCTCAGCAAAAAGCTAGGCACTAAGCAATGCAGTGAGACCCTGTTTCTAAATAAAAAATACAAACTAGGGCTGAGGATGTGGCTCAGTGGTTCAGTGTCCCTAAGTTCATCCCCTAGTACCTCTCCAATCACCCCCCAAAAAAGAATTCTAGAGATAATATGTTAGACATACTGCAGCCTCCCATTTAAACATGAAAAAACTGAGGACCAGAATTTGTTCATATCCAAAATCAGAAGTTTATCTGGTAATAGTCTCCCTTTCCTGAGGCTTGTAATTATTATGTTATTATCAATCATTTAACTTTTCTCTACCATCTGAGAAAATGAACTAACAAATGGCTAACTAGGGTTAGAAACTTAGAATGGAAGTTARTGCTTACTACTTGGAATATGTAAGTGACCAAAACCAAATCCTCCCAACATCTTTGTTTCTTTTAATATCTCTGTGCTTACGAAGCAGGAGGGAAAAATTAGGTTTAATATGAAGAATAGAAAATTCCTGAAAGTGACTGGATAAGAAAATTCAGAAAAGTTGGATAGGTATTTCAGCAATTTTAAACTTCAGTTTTCCCAAATTTTTTGAAACATAAATATCCTCTTCTTTGATATTTGAAGACTTTTTCCAAAGTTTAATAAAATGATTTTAAGCTATTCTTACAGGTTTACAAAATCAGGTTTCAGACCCTCTTTATGCTACAGACCCTATATATAGTTTGATTCAGTTTAGTATTAAAATGAAGCTTCTATTGTTGTCCACATATTGAATAAATGAAGATATTTATGTACAAAAGATATTTAACCTAGTTTTATATTTTTCTTACAGATTTATGAAGGTACTGCCCAAATTCAAAGGCTTATTATAGCTCGTGAACATGTTAGCAGGTATAAAAATTAAAAGAGACCTCTACAGAAACGTGGTTAATCGTTGAATAATTAGAATACAATCTACTGTTTATGTTTCAGAAAAGAGAAAGGGCTTTAAAATAAGTATTCTTATATAAATCTATACCATTGATTCTAATGTTAGTTTGCACTTTTGTTTAACAACTCTATGATTTCCCTTTTTTTCAGATAGATTTGGTTTCATTACAATTATGTGTTGTCACAATGTTGTGATGGTGCACACCTATAATTCAAGCTACTTAAGAGGCTGAGGCAAGAGGATCACAAGTTTGAGGCCAGCCTCGCAACTTAGTGATTTAAATTAAATATTTAAATTAAAGAAAAAATTTTAAAAGGGTTGGGAATGTAGGTTGACTTTCCTTGCCTGCCATGTGTGAGACCCTGGGTTCAGTCCCCAGTATTGTGGGTCCCTTTGTATCACTGTACTTGAATTATATTAGCCAAGAAAATTACATTTGTCATTTGATGACTTAAAGAAGCAGAAATACCTTGGAATTTTATTATTTTCCAGTGATATAAAATTGGGCCTATGAATTCAAATATGCCAAAATTTACATTGAGAAAATATTATAGGATCTGGATAACATCAAACAACTTGCCAGCAACTTTGAAGATTTAATGGTATTATGTATTAAAAGTGTTTACAATTTGAAATGTACTTGCCTTCATTTCTGCACAATAATAGCCAAAATTTCAATATTCATATTTGCTCATTATACAACTATGAGAAATTTCTTGATAATCTTTTTAATGATGACCTCATGTTTTACTTRCCTTATTTAAATCAATAAAATTTGCCCTACATTATTTTTATGACTGTTGAACTCTAGGTAACCTTTTGTTTATCATGTACAATCTTATTCATGTACATGCATTTTGAAGGGGAACTTAAATAAAATCATCTGTTCAGTGCTTAATAATGTATCATTTGTATTCTTTCTAGAAGTTTTATTACTTCATGTAATATGTATACTTCCTAGCTTTACTATGAGATGCAGGTTGTGTTTTGATTTTAAATTGCAATGATGTTACCAACTATATATTTTTTAATCAGACTATTATTATGAAAGACCTCAGAAAATATAAATATAAAACAAGAACCAAAGATTGCAAATGTTTTATAATTCAAAATATATATATTGCAAAAATGTTACACTAAATTGAGATGTTTTCTGGTACTACTTCTGATTTTTCAATTTTTCAGTATCAGTATATCCTGTATTTCAGTTCTATTCTAGTATCACCCAAACTTACAAGTCTCTCAAGACTGCCTTCACTTCAGAGGCCAATCATATGTCTCCAGTCCTCAAAGTCCTTACTTTGTCCAATATGACTACAAATTTAGGTATTCCCATGATGCCACCTCAAGTTTAATAATTTGCAAGAATGGCTCATAGAACTTAGAAAAAYACTTTATTTACATTTACCTGTTTATAAATTACAAAGAATACAATTCAGGAACAGCCAATGGAAGAGAACACAGGGCATGGTTTGGGGGCAGGGCACTACATAGAGCTTCCCTGCCTTCTACCAGCCCAACAGGTTCCCAGCACCTCTATGTGTTCTCTAACCTGGAAGTTCCCTGAATCTCATTCAAGAGTGTTTATAGAGTTCAACCTCTAGTTCCTTTTGACCCCATTGGAGAAGCTGAAAATCCCCACTTATGAGAGTCTGCTAGGGCTTCCCTAAAAAAAAAAAAAAAAAAAAAATCCCTGCAGACAGGATGGTGCAAATAGAAACTTATTTTCTCAGTTCTGGAGGCTAGAATTCAAGTTCAAGGTGCTCTTAGGCATGTTTTCTGGTGAATCCTCTCTTCCTGGCTTGTAGAATGCTACCTTCTTACCATATTCTCATGTCTTCTCTGTGCTTATACCAAGGGTTGGATCAGGGGGAGCTCTGGTTTTCTTTTTTTTCTTACAAGGACACCAGTTCTATAAGATTAAAGGCCCTATCTGTGATCTTAATTGACTCCTTAAATACTGTCACCAAATTCCTTCACACTGGGAGTTACAGTTTCAACTTCTCAGCTTGGGAATTTGTGGGCAGAGGGTCCTATGTACACTTGAATCCATATCATTACACTCTAATTGGTCTTTCTGGTGATCAACACCCTTTTGAGGATATATAGGGGTCCCACCCTAAATCACCTTATTAGCATAAATGCAGGTATGTTTGAAAATGGCTCACTATGAATGATACATGATATCTTTATCAAAGTAAATTAGTTTTTCCAAACTTTTTGAAACATAAATATCCTCTTTGAAGATTTTTTTCCCAAGCTTTGATAAAATGATTTTAAGTTATTCTCACAGATTTCACAAAATCAGATTTCAGATGCTCTATATRTTACAGACCCTGTATATAATTTGATTTTATGCCAAGAACTGTGGACAAAGACCAAATATGTATTATACCACATTTATTATACCACGAAAATCTAACTGGGGGGTGGGGTACTGGGGATTAAACTCAGGGGCACTCAGCCACTGAGCCACATCCCTAGCCCTATTTTGTATTTTATTTAGAGACAGAGTCTCACTGAGTTGCTTAGTGCCTTGCTTTTGCTGAGCTGGCTTTGAACTCCTTGTCCTCCTGCCTCAGCCTCCTGAGCTGCTGGGATTATAGGAATGTACCACTGTCCTCAGCTTAATGTTTTCTTGTTTAAAGTTTAAATGACTTTTTTTCATGYTAATATTGAAATTGTATTTCAACAGCACAAGATTGGTAAGATTTAGAGATTTCTTAATTGAATATTACATAGAAATTATAAGCTAAACAGAGAATATGCATTTCAAATGCAGATTTGAATTTGCAATTTGCAGATTCAAAATTTTACCTACCAGTTTAAAACATATAGCTTATAGACATGATATAAATGTGCTCTTAAGGCCCTATGAGAATATGAAGTATGCTTTTTAGCATTAAGCAATTATACAACTTATATGAATTATAACTTTTGAGTCACAACAAATTAAGCTACTTTAAGCAAAGAAGACAAACGTGTCTTAAATACACTGAAATGTCTCTTGGATCTGAAGATCGGGAATGGAATCATTTACAAGAAGGGACTATAACCAGACAGTCTTGAGGAATCCATGAGACACAGTCTTTTCTTACTCCGAACACTTCTTATTCTCACATTTCATTCCTTCCTGTTTTATAGTTTGGCTTTCTCGGCTTTGATTCCACAATAGAATAAGACCTCCCTATAGCATATTTGTAATATTAAATTGACCATCACATATAGACATTAACTGTCTAGGGCTGGGAGAGAAATTTGGGAATACAGAAAAAGAAAGATAGTACACTGAGTCTCAATAGAGAAGTTCYCATGAAACTTGAAATGCAAAACAAACAACTTGTAAGCAATGCAGCCCACATCCTTATCCCACATCTCAGCCCCCATCCTTGGCTTTCATCTTTGCCTTCAAAAAAGTAAAACAATGCARGAAATAGAAAAGAAAGGTAAGGGGGAAAGTGCCATTGATATGGATTGTAGAATTATAGTCACAAATTTTAAGACATTACCCCATGATTAAACAGAAGAAGAGGTCTTTGGAGATTAAAAGCTATTCCACAGGTAACAGTGTGTTTGGTTTATTTATTTATTTATTTTAACACGTATTTTATTCAGCTTTTTTGCTGTTGCAACTAAAAGACCCAACCAGAACGACTAGAAAGGAGGAAAARTTTGAAGGCTCTTGGTTTCAGAGGTCTTGTCCATAGAAGACTGGCTTAATTCCTCAGGGCTTGAAGTGAGGCAGAACGTCATAGCAGATGAGTGTGGTACATGGAAGCAGCTCACATGGTGATCAGAAAGCAGAGAGGTCTCCACTTGCCAGATACAAATATATGCCCCAAAGCCACACCCCTAAGCCCCACCTCCTCGGCCACATTCTACCATTTCAGTTACCACTCAGTTAATCTCTATTAGGGGATTATTAATCATTGATTCCGTCAAGACTCTCACAACCCAGTCATTTCTCCTCWGAACTTCTTGCATTGTTTCACAGGTAAGCTTTTGGGGGACACCTCACATCCAAACCATAACAACATGACAGATTTTAACTCATAAAAACTGTTATAAAAATTGAAGAGCAGCTGGTATGTGGTGCTGTAATAGTGACTTGGGAGGCTTCCGCAGGAGAATCACAAGTTTGAGTCCAATAGCAAGGCCTTAGGCAACCTAGTAGAGACCCTGTCTCCAAAACAAACAAACAAAAACACAACAAACAAACAACAACAACAACAACAAAAAAAAAAAAACAGGAACTGGGGATGGGGCTCAGTGGTTAAGTACTCCTGGGTTCTATGTCCCTAGTACTAAAAAAAAAAAAAAAAAAAAAAATTGAAGAGCAGACATATAGCAAATCAGAATTTGCTCACTGATAAGAAACTGATTAGTACCTGAAAAGGCAATAAAATGTAATGCAGCCATCTTTCCTACATAGTAGAAATAAGTTGTAGGTTATAGTTTATTTGTATTATTTTCTGTTTTCTACAATTTAATTTCTAAGAGAGTTGTGAAACAGTTTAGTTGCTATGGTTTGGATGAATATTTCCCAAAAGTTATATGTAAAGGTTTGGTCCCCAGGGTGGCTGGCTATGTTGGGAGAYGCTGTGGTATAGGTGAGGCCTAAGAGGTGAGGCCTAATGAGAGAACATTGGTGATGTGCCCTGGAAAAGATTGTGGGACTCTGATCCACTAGCTTTCTGCTGTGGTTGGAGACGCGCTTTTTGCTTTGACAAAATCATTGCCATCCATACCACAAAGTGATGCAGTTGAGTGGCAGCGCTTGCTAAACCTTTGGTAGGCTTGCTAAACCTTTAAAACTTAAATAAAGCTTTTCTCTTTGTAAAGTTAACTGCCTCCGGTATTTTACTGTAGAAATGCAAAGTAAATTAATGTGATACCTGTGTTAGTCAGCTTTTCATCACTGGGACAAAATGCCTGAAAAAAAAAAACAACTTAGAAGAAGAAAAGATTATTCTGGCTCACAGTTACAGAGGTTTTAATACATGGTCAGCTGGTTCCATTGCTTTGGGCCTGAGGTGAGGCAGAACATCTTGGTAGGAGAATGTCAGGGAGAAAACCTGCTCACCTCATGGCAGCCAGGAAGCAGAAAGAGGGAGGATGGACTGGGGACAAGATAATTCCCTTTCAGGGCACACATCCAGTGACTTAATGCCTCTAACTTAGGCCCCAACTACTATATTTTCTATCACCTTCCAATAATGCCTTCAAAGTACTAATCCATCCAAGGATTAGTCCATTACTATATTG